CTATAGCACTTGAAGACTTGTGCGACATATCTATTTGTTCGTGATACAAAAATCTTCATGGAAATAGTTTTTATATTGCATTAAAGGCTTCCGTTTTTTTAATAAAAAATAAAAACAGAAAAACTTATTTTTCTCTTTGAGCCAAAACTATAACGTATTTTGGCTTAAAAAAATCTGACAGTGTAGATAATATTATTGCTCACCTGGGGCTAATAATTATTTTTTCGTTAAACTATCCATTTTTTAGTTATTGTTGATTAAAGCAAGACCTAAAAAGGGCATTTTTTCTAAATGTAGGCAACCAAACATCTTCTTTGGTCAAGAACGAGCCAAGAAAGTGTATGATTTACGACAGGGGTTGGCCACTATTGAGAGATTATACGGATTTAATACCTTTGTTGAGAAAATATGCAAATGAGGTGACCGTAGTGTGTTCTACCTGAAGGTTGTGGAATCGTACAATTATGTAGGAGTATTATATTAATCTAATTTCAGAATAACAAATAAATAACCGAGTTTGGATTTTTTACAAAACTGCCTAACTTGTTTCAACAGTTATAATTACTGCTGATCCCAAATGTGAGATAAATTAGACAAATTTTAAAATTATCAATCACTGAAAAAGAAAAGAATAGAACAACTTTTTCCAAAGCACACAATGAAGATTCGATTATATGTGACACTAATAATCCAATGTATGTGTTGAATTACTTACATATCTTTATACATATTATAGCCTCTTCTAAATTTAAAAATGTATATAAATTTTTTTGACTGAGATAGAGTATAATAAATATAATGATATAAAAATAAATAATGGTCTGTAAATCATAAATCTTTTTTTATTATAGGACGAAGCTGCTGATTTCGACTCCATCGTGAATCAATAATTTCTGGGAGCATGGCTTTTAAATAAAATTTTTCCAAATAATTTTCCATTTTTTTTTTATTTATTTGTTATTCTGAAATTAGATTAATATAATACTCCTACATAATTGTACGATTCCACAACCTTCAGGTAGAACACACTACGGTCACCTCATTTGCATATTTTCTCAACAAAGGTATTAAATCCGTATAATCTCTCAATAGTGGCCAACCCCTATCGTAAATCATACACTTTCTTGGCTCGTTCTTGACCAAAGAAGATGTTTGGTTGCCTACATTTAGAAAAAATGCCCTTTTTAGGTCTTGCTTTAATCAACAATAACTAAAAAATGGATAGTTTAACGAAAAAATAATTATTAGCCCCAGGTGAGCAATAATATTATCTACACTGTCAGATTTTTTTAAGCCAAAATACGTTATAGTTTTGGCTCAAAGAGAAAAATAAGTTTTTCTGTTTTTATTTTTTATTAAAAAAACGGAAGCCCTTAATGCAATATAAAAACTATTTCCATGAAGATTTTTGTATCACGAACAAATAGATATGTCGCACAAGTCTTCAAGTGCTATAGTAAGGATGATATTGGAAGTGGCGTTTTGCCGTATTTCGGCAGATTTTAATGACTGTAAGGAAGAGCCTTAAGTAGATGTGGGACATCAAATATGCATGCAATGTCATGTCCCTTGACTTTAAACTGAAAGCGCGATGAATTTTCCCAACACAGTTCATTAAGGGCAGCACGATTAGTGGACCCTTGGTCACACACTGTGGCCATTACGTTAAATCCAGCTTCCAAAGTCTGATTAATTATTAATGTAATGATATTTTTTAGATTAGCCACAGAGATTGTTGCAGATGTGAGATAGTAGGCCACAACTTGTTTCCACGTTTTTCGCATTCCCCGCAACATAAATACTAATGCGTGATTTGCATGTCTGCTTGTCAGTGGCGGCCCGTGAAGTTTTCTTCAGAGGAGGCTCAAATTTGAAAAGCACTACTTTTTACATCTTTATGTGTGGTAATCGTATTACATCATATTTGCAAGTTTCCACACCACCTTGCGGTATTGCAGCGGCGCGTTACCTTTTTGATTTTAGTGGTTGGTTCGCCGACAGCCCTATTATCCCACTTACTAAGTATAAAATAAAAAGTAAATTCTCAAAAAAATAACAAATACATAAATATTCTTAAAAAAAACAAATTAAAATAAATTCGTAGGATTAAAACGAAATAACAAATAAAAATAAAATTCTTTGGTTTAAAAAATTATGCACTACCTACTGCAATTAAAGCTTCTTATAGCAAAGTGGTAATCTACGATTTTTCATGTTGGCAAAGTGATGGATTATATGTTCATAAAATGAATTATTCTCTTTTAATTTGCTTACCAAACGCTTTTCAATTGCAATTAACGATACATTTGATAACCGGTCTTGCGACATTCTATTTCTGTTATATGTTTTTATTCGCTTAAGAGCTGAAAAAGATCTTTCGACGGAAGCAGAAGTTACTGGAATTGATAAAACTAGGCATAAAAGCTTGTATAACTGAGGCAAGCAGTCTGTTAGATTATTTTTATAAATAAATGCTACCATTTCTTGAACTGACGTAGATTCTCCTAGAAGATGTGTATCCGAATAAAGAACAGAAAGTTCATTTTTCAGAGATATTTGATCAAAAGACGAATACTGCTTGGTAAGTTCTTGTAGCAAATTACTAGGAAATTCTTTCGAAAACGTTCCAAAATTCTCATAATTTACCAAATCAAAATACTGTAGAGCCCCGATATCAGCAAACCTGGTCTCAAGTTGAACGATAATGATATCCAAAATTTGTGCATAAATTTGTTTGTAATGTAAATCTTGTCTTTCTAAATTAAATGACGTTTTCCGTTTTTTGTGCTGCGAAGGTCCTGGTTCATTCTCGGTATAGTTTTCATTTGCATCGTCCAAAAATATATTGTATAAGTCATTAAAATGAATTTCATTAGTACGAAAATCTTTCAATTTTTTTATTAATGAGTTAAGTCTATCCTTGGAATAATTAACATCTGTTGATCTGTTTTGCAAAATTTGAAAAATTATATCAGTTTGTTCAAAAATCATTGTAAAAACTTTTAGGTAAAAAATAAAATTTTTATCTAGCAGTAACCGTTTGAGCCCATAAGCTTCTCTCAAAGTTTGATGATCATTTAAAAATTCTTCACTATCGGAAATAAAATCAAAAACCTCAATTAATTTTTGTCTGTGTGAATTAATAGTAAACACAGCTCTGCTTGAAAAATTCCAACGAGTAGGCGCGTTACTTGGCAGCCTATGCTTAACGATTGAATTTAAAACTTCTGATCGTTTGCTTGATTTTGAAAAAAATGATGAAAATCCTGACAGGTTTGAAAAAAATATTCTGACGTCTTTTATACCGTTACAAGCTTTGCTTAATACCAAATTGAGTTTATGGGCATAACAATGTGTGAATAAGGCTTGGGGTGCAATATTTTTTACTTTAGTTTGAAGACTGTTTAAATGTCCTGCCATTACTGCAGCACCGTCATAAGTTTGGGCAATTAATTTATTTTTCAGATCAAACCGATTGAATTCTTTTGTTAATAACTGAAATAAACATTCAGCATTTCTTCCACTACTAACGTCGTAGAACCCAGTAAATCTCTCAACAAGTTCGCCATCTGTAACATATCTTAAAATTACGGATAGTTGGCTTTTACAAGTTATATCTGTAGTTTCATCTATTTCCCAAGAAAAAAAATCGGCTTTTTGCAGTTCTTCTTCTGTCTTATTTTTAATTACAAAACAGATGCTTTCAATTAAATCGTTTTGAATTGATTTTGAGGTTCCAGTAAAAACTGTAGCTTCATTTAAAAAATTTTGTAACTTTGAGTCGTAGGTTTTTAATAAATCGATCAATTCTTTAAAATTTCCCTTATTATCTGAATCATTTTTTTCGTCATGCCCACGAAAAGAACACTCTTGCGTTGATAGATAAATTATTGCATCGATTAATCTTTTCAAAATTGCCCTATTTTCAACAACTTTCTCGTTATAGTTCTCAATATCCCTCTTATGAGCCGAATCTAAAGTATTGGCAATGTTTTGCTTACCAAGCATTTCTAATTTAATCGAAGAAAATATGTGTTCCTGTGATTTTTCATGCCTTTCTACAGCTCGTGATAAATTTTGTAAATTATTATAGCCGGTTTTGCCCCAAACGGAAGATTTATCACTTGTGAATAATATACAATTCCAGCAGTATAATTTGTTCCTTAAAACCGAAGCCGTTAACCATTTAGTTTTGTTATAATTATTTGCATGAAATGCTCTGTTTTGTTTTCTGCCTGTCATTACCATTAATGGGAGTGATGGTGTTGGTCTCCCCTTTTGTTTTATAGCTATCTTTTTATCATAATCAAAGGTAGTAAATTCATTTTTTAATAGATAATCGACGATATCTGCACAAGAGACTGAATTATTTTGGTTGGTCATTCTCGTTATGTATAAGTAATATTAATATGCCGGTAATACTAGTTGTTTATAACGATCAGAAATTAAACGCAAATAAATGATACAAAAAACACCTTACCAACGTAAAGCCTAAACACCACTGAACAGGGAACGTGCGAAACCACCTCAATGTTTTTCCTGTTTTCACCAGATTGCGCCAATTAATAAGAAAGAGATAAAATTATCCGTACGACTTGATCTGAAAAGAGATGAACTAGCCGGAGGCTAGCGGCCTGAAGCGGCGTTCCGTCCAACGTTTTAGCCAATGCAGTGCAGAATCACCATGCGTCAAGGTTACAGTTTCCATAGTAAGATGCATTTCCATCGGAAGCTAGCCTCTACGGCTGAATCCAAACGCGGAGAGGTGTGAATTATGATTGTAAGGGCGCAAATATAAATTTTTTCGACATTTTAACCTGATATATGATGAAAGTAAATAAAATCAAACAAAATATTCTGAAAAATAACAAATTTCTACAAAAATACAAATTCTTTCATCGAAAAAATTAGAGGAAGCTCAGCTCCAAAAAATAGAGGAGGCTCAGCCTCCCCTGCCTCCTCTGAGGAGCCGCCACTGCTGCTTGTTCTACCTAGGTGTCCCAAATCTTCATACCCAAAAGCCATGTCTTTACTTGCTTCGTAAAAAAAACCAGAACTCAAAGAAATCTCATCAAATATTAGCGAACAACATTTATCTAATTTATTCATCGTTTGACATACGTTTTTCAGATGATCTAGAAGTGGTTTATTTATACCAGTATCCAGTGGAATATTGGAAAAAATTGTCTTTAATGTTCTTGTTGAAGGTACTTGGAAGTAGACAGACAAATATCTATACAATTTAGGACTTCGTTTATATAGAGATAATGCAAATATTTTATCTTGTTCAGTCCACCGTTTAGCTGATGGTTTTTTCTCAACGTTTCGCAGTTGGGAGTTAATGAAATTTTTGGTGACAAGATTTAGTTTTTTTTCAATAAATTCAAATCTATTGTCCTCATACATGGTTTTTAAATGCTCCAACTTTTGAATTTCAGTCGCCAGTTTTTTTTTTTGTTTTAAACAAATTTGATTTTACAGATCGGTGTATTCTGTACATCTTTTTTTTGCGTGGCGTTAACTGTGTACTACGAAGACCACAACATTTTAAGAAACCACGTTGTTTTTTTGGTGTTTTTGTTGGGTTATTAATGACTTCAGAGTTTATCACGTTGTCACAAGAAATGTAATTGTTTGATGTAGGGGTGCAATAATCATGTTCTGAGAAATAGACATCCAGGTCCACATTATTAGAAGCACTATTATTTACTTGCACTGTGTTTGTGCGATGAAAATAGTCATGATCGTCCTGAACTGATTTAATGACATTGTTGACATTTATGGGTTGAACTTTAGTATAAGAATGGTCATCTAAGTGTTGCACGTTTATTGTGACGAAATAGGAATGATCTTCCTGAATATTTTTATTTATTTCCTCTAAATTCAAAATTGGCCCCTTACTATAATCATGTTCATTGAGTGATGAACTGAAATTATCAACAGCACAGTCCTTTGATAACACATTAGTGGTGTTACTAAAAACATCGAGTGAAGGGACTGCCTGGCAGTTTAATCGATTACGTAAATGACTTCTATAATCTGCTGCAGTAAAGTGATCTTCACATACATAAAAATGATTGGTATTTATATGCAAATCAATACCACACACTAATTTCCACTTATCTTGTATCTCTTGATTTGATGAAGGAAATCGATGAAATCGTTTATTTTTTACTCCACTGTTTGGTGCATAGTAACGGTTGGTACACTTTGGGAACTTACATGAATATTTAATTCGCCCTGTTATACTTGAAATTATACTAGTTTGCTCCATCACAAATTGTTATATGCTACTTTATACATAAAGATATTGCACTGCCATGTCGGCCAGACTTTTCTGTACATGCCACCTAAAACTTAACAAATTAAATATGTTTCGCTTTTATCGTGTGTGCTTACCATTATTGTTGTTCAATTTCCACATGGGCCACAGTTTTCAGCAGGGAACAGTTCAGTGAATTTTGAAAACATAACCACCTAAAACTGTAAATTTACATTTGATGTTTTGCTTTTGGTATGTATGTTTACCATTATAACATTATACATGTTATTATGTTCTTTTTGAGTTGCTGTCCACTCTCCAGGTTACTCTCACAGGATAGAATTGTTTGCCGGGCAATCTTTTGTAATTTCCTCACTTCTCACATCACCATGTGTCAAACCGTCGTTCCCAAGACCCACGTGCACCTCTAATGTTGTGAAATACGACGCACGGTACTTATGCGCAGCGTATTTTAGACCCACCTTTTGCCTGGCAAGCCGCCATATTTGATGTCTAATTCCGTAACCCACTTGCACCCCCGTGGTTCCTACTTTGTTCCTCCATGGTTCCAAGTCATCACTACCTGTTCCTACTTCTTCAAGCTCCCCAGCAAGTACTAAACGTGGTCCAGAATGCAGCTTCATAATTCCTGAGACACATTCCGATAACAATGTAAACACCTCAAAGAAAAACTTTCCTACTGCATATCCCTTTGCAGACCATCCACGCCCATGGCGTTGTGACTTTGGCACGGGTACCGAAATTTTGCCTCTTTTTCAAGTAAAAACTGAAATACATGATGTCAAATTGTGTCAAAAAGTCAGACCACGACAGACCACGACCTGCTGCATTAGTTAATACGGCCTGTTCATAACTGTAGTTCCACTGTATCCTCCGATTTTAGTGAGGGCGCTAGCGGATGGGCGCATTTTAGGAATTTTTATTATTTTATGTTGGTTGGATGGTACTCACTGTTTTTTGGTGTCAAATCTGACATTCAAATTAAAATTCTCTTGAGAATCTTTAAGCGCGCTGAAAGTAGTTATTTGTGAAGTCCATTTGTTATTGTTCGTTGTTTTTCTTTTTGATTTGCAGTTTTCGTTCCATTTTTATTTGTTTTGTGGTGTTTCGTTCCCATTTTGTCGTTTCAACTCGTTTAGTGTTTCGTTATTATTTCATAGTTTAATTAGTGTTTGTTTTTTGTTGTTTTGTTCCTATTTGGTCGTTTAACTTCAGTTAGTGGTTCGTTATTATTACATAGTTTAAGTTGTTACGTTAATTTTACTGGGACGAAAATGCGGTTCCACAAAAAATGCATTGTGCCCCAGTGCCCTGCCAAGTACTCAAAGTCTTTCCATCAGTTTCCCTCTGAGCCCCTCTTAAGAGAAAAATGGCTACATAAAGTAGAGAAGTTTTGTTGTAAGAAAAGCTTATTGAACACTTATTTTTTTTAATACTAAATATTAATTATTATAGCTCCAACGCAGCAGATCGTCAGTCAGTACTCAACCATTTGCAATTTGCACTTTAAACCCACAGATTTTAAGTTTGCAGCAAATGGTAGTAAACGCTTGCAAAAAAATGCAGTTCCAACAGTTTTTCATATATTTATTTACATTTTAAACTTAACAGAAATAAAATTATAGTTTTTATAGGGTGACGATGCTTATTACGCATCCATACACGAATCCTTCGTTGCCCTTGCCCAGTCTTCTACTCCTTTAAATATCAAGCCCTCATCATCCATTATTCCTGTAATTACAATCCTTACAACTGTGAAAATATAAGCGAACAGCACATTAATACCGTAATTTAAAGTTAGGAGTAAAATTATTTTTCTGTTCCTACCTATTTTCACACTTTTTTAGAACTTTCCTCTAATAGTTATTTATTTTATTTAGAGTACTGTTACTCCAAGATTATCTCCTCCCTCCCAATCAACATCCACGTGTCCAACATCGACAGAAGAACCTCCAGTAATATTTTATTGGCAGTTAATAAATTTTAATCATATTTTTTTAAATTGTAGAATTCTGATTTAAGTCACTCAACAATTCCTTCTGAACCTGAGTCCTTATATAATGAATCCCAAACATTAAGTTCCAATACTGATCTTCGTCTTGATGATATATCAAAACTTAAACTTGAAATCAAAAAACTGAAAATGAAAGTAAACCGTTTGGACAAACAGAACAAACTGAAAAATAAACAGCTACAAAAACTGCAATTAAAAATTGACAATCAAACGAATCAAGCCCGTATATTCGAAAAAATTGAAGCTGATGCCAAGAATAACGACCCAAAAGCCACATTTCTATTAGACCAAATATTAAATTACAACAAACAAAAATCTAGATGGTCAGAAGTAACTGTAAGATCATGTATTGCCTGGAGGATTTCATCCCCAAAGGGATACAACTATGGTAAAGCTTCTATATTGAAATTACCTAGTCGAAGTACTTTAGAACGGTATATAGGAAATGGACAAGATGTTACAGGACTTATAGAGGCACGCTTGAAAGCAGAAGCCGAAGTGCTACAACCCGTTGAAAGGATTTGTAGTTTAATTGTTGACGACATGTCCATCAAGGAAAAACTGTGTTACAGCCGCACAGAAGACAAATTCTATGGGTTAGAGACTACCAATGAGAGTAGTCAAACAATTGGAAAAAAACCAACGTTGGCCAACAAAATGTTATGTTACGTTGTTCACGGCATGACTACTAAGTACACGATACCCGCCGGATATTTCTTCCATCGAACTCTAAAAAACATAGATTTTGTGAATTTGACGTTAAAAGTAATGAAACTTTTACATAATTGCGGATTTACAGTTTTAAGAATTGTGACAGATAACCATAAGTCAAATGTGGCCCTTTTCAAATCTCTGTCATCAAGTAATAATTTAATGACTCATATTCAACATCCAATAGAACCAACAATACCATTATTTATGAGCTTTGATTACTGTCATATTATTAAAAATTTGACGAACATATTTTTGGACCATGACATGCATTCTGGTAACGGTATAATTTCTGCACGATTTTTAAAGAAAATATATGATATGCAACACAAATTAATTGTTAAACCGGTAAAGTTTTTGACCAGGAAGCATATTTGCCCAACCAATTTAGAAAAGATGAACGTCCGTCGTGCTGTGCAAGTATTTTCCATAGAAGTAAGAGCAGCAATAGAGTATTTGGGAAAATATAACAATCCAGGTTTTGTTGATGTTGAAGTGACTCTAAAGTTTATGGAAATGATGCACACATTTTTTAAAATTCATGATGTCAATGACAAAACTCAGCACATCCGGCAACTAAATGAAAATAGTGCTCCATATACAGATATTAATGATGAACGCCTTCTCTGGATGTTAAAAACTTTACCTGCTTATATAGATTCCATTCAACTATCTTCAAAGGCAAATAAAATGACGGGATTGACTAAAGAGACTGCAGAAGCAGTAAAATTCACTGCCAAAAGCACTGCAGAATGTATCAAGTATTTACTGGAAGAGAGTGGCTTTTTCTATGTCTTAACGCGAGCATTTAGCTCAGATCCAGTTGAATCGATGTTTAGCAATGTCCGATTATGCGGTGGTTCTCAGGACGCTACTGATGCCAGGGCTGCACACTATGCTATTAAACGAATACTTAAGTCAGGTTTAGTAACAACTTCAGAATCAGCAAATGTATATTCTGACTGTAATCACTTGAGTAAAATTGGTCAAATTCAGTCTTCTGAAAGATCTACAACAGAAACAAATATACATATACCTGACAGTATAATTGAAGAAATTAGTGACCTTCATAAATTAACATTCGTTAATACCATTTTCACAGATATCAACTCTGCATCAGTTGCGTTTTTATCTGGATATATTTGTAGAACAATTGAAGAAAGGTTAGAGTGCAAAAATTGTTTAGATTCATTACTAACCACCGCAAAATCTACCCCGTTGCTTGACTTGATATATCTGCAAGACAGAGGAAAATTAAAATATCCCACAAGATCATTCACAAATTTTATAAATAAAATTATAAAAATTACATTTGATATTTTGGAACACATACCAGTAAATCATCATCCAAGAACTGTGGTGGAGTCTTTGTTATTAGAGCCAATTGCCAGTTCAGCTTTTTTGCCTTGTGAAGATAAAAACCACAAAGTAATGGTTGCGAACTTAATATTGTCTAAAGTGTTGAAACCAATTTTTGCAAATTTTGGTTATACAAGAACTGAAAATGTTACATTGTTTAGTAATTTGACCCATAAACCCCATTCAAGAAAAGTATTAAAATTATAAACATACCTGTCTGTTTTTTTATATTCTTCCAGCGCTAATTAGGGTGAAATTTTACAAAAGGCACTTCTCGATTTCGCACAAACTGTTTGGTTACAATTCTTCTACACCACCCCCTAATCACGTTCCTCACCTTCAAATGTTTCCTTTTGCTACAAAAAAAAATGTTAAATTTCCCAATTCATACACTCTTTAACGGGAAAAGCTGTTTCCAATATAACCTAACTTTTTATACTCACCAACACGCGAGGGGTAATGTCGGGAACAGAAGAAAACAGTTGTACAACTTTTGAAGGTGCGGAACGTGAACAGGGGGTGATGTAGAATTGCTTTGGGGAAACAATTAATGGAAAATCGAGAAGTGCCTTTTGCAAAATTTCACCTTTGCTAGTCCTTTTTGTTGTAATTTTCAACCATAGAGAGGATACGATGTATGATTCAACGTTTAACCGTTTAATAAATTGTTCAAAACATTTAACCTAACCCGATTTAACCTATTTATAAAACTTCAAATTTGAAGTTTGTTTGACAATTGTCAAGGTCAAAAGCTCCCCTCCAGTGCTGCCCTCACGCCCTGACGGCAAAATTTTTTCAATGCATTTTTGTGGAAATGAACCAGAGATATGTAAAAGACAGATGCGGTTATAGCTTTCCCGATCTAGGGCCAACATCTATGATCTAAGAGTAGCAATACTTTGTATCGCCTATCCTTTTCTATATCATCACCAGTACTATGGATTGCCAACTGTAGGCTACATCGATCACTCTCTAAAAGGTGGTTGTCTTGTTATTGGCCCGTTCTGATGGCGGCAATTATAAATAATCATAACCACCCACAGTCTGAGTGGTCTGACAGGGACCGGCACAAACACAAGAACGGCATCAACGACAAACGTTGCGCCAACTCTGATTGGTTGCGCCGTACAGAGCGAGACCTTCAGATATCGGGTTACCATTATACGTGCTAGAGAAAAAGAGGGAGATATAAACGTACACTGACATTTTGGCCCTAAACGTATGTCCACGAGAACATTAAATATCTGTATCTAGTCTTTTACATATCTCTGAAATGAACAGGCAGGATATAATACAGCCGGCAGTGCGACAGACTTTTAGCCGACATTACAGATTCCTTTCCCTCCCGACGTATGCGCCCTCACATGTCACATTTAAGGGATTGGAGAGACTTTAATAGTGAATCAACGAAGACGACGATAGTAGCATTTACTTTTTGCTCAAAATGCGATTCCAGCAGTTCTCAGACGGTAGTGGAGATCTTTATTTTGAAAAAATTATCGAATTTATCAAAAAACTGAACAC